ACCAAAAAAACACTACTCATGTGTTGCGCGAGGCGCGAGCTTTTACATTCCGGCGTGGATCTTTGGAATATCAACGGGCTTCACAGCTTTCCGAACAAGTCTTGAAGCAGCAAACGCAAGATAATCCAATAACAAACCTGCATCCCAAACCTGAGCTTTCCAACCGCCACATAGTAGCTGAGTGGAAACGTTGCATGTTTTGTGACATGTACATATACATATGTATGTACGACCTTGTTGTGATTAAAAGCGCAACCTTTTAGGGCCAGGAAATTGAGCAGCTAACCCTAGACCGTCTGCATGGCGAAGGATGGCCTCTTCTTCTGCGACTCTTACGGCGTTACGCGAGCGCGGGCCTGAATCTGGTTGTTGCCTTGCTCCCCCCCCCCCCCGAATTTCCTACAGATGGTTTAGGTTGTTAGGCCCCATCCCCCTAATATGTTTGCATATTCCCTCTGTGACATGGTGGTGCTATATCAGGGGTGGGATGATTATTAGAGTTTGGAAGGTTTATCATCAAGCAGAGAAAAGGCTGAAGTTCAGGGCTCGGCGACTCAGAGCTCTCTTGGAGCGGATACAGGGGGAGACACAGGGAATGGTACTTGGGCTCCGCAAAATACTTAGATTCATGCAATGCAGTCCTGTATCAACTACGAGATATCATATGTATGGCCCTGATGCCCCTGAAAGCCATCCAAGACCTACGGACTGGACGAGCAAATCCTCGCAGGACGAACCGGGTCATGAAATCATGAACAAATTGTTTGGATTTGTGATGCCTGCAGCCTTTCCAACGGCCCAAGTATTCACTTAAGCGCCTCATCTTTAACCGCTCTACCGGAGATGCTTCGCATCATCCTCGCATTTGCTGCCGCGGAGGCCTCGTGCATTGGGGAGACGTGCCCCTCTCGTGGCGATGCCCTGCTCCAGCATCACGTTGCGCATGAGAAAGTGGAGACCGCAGTTCAGACCGGAGGCTTCTTACTGGTGGTGGTGGTGGTTGTTCAGGAAAGAAGGAGGAGGATGTAGGGATGAAGCCGGGGTATAGGAACTAGCTCCTGGAGAGACCCATTCCGTACCAACCACCCCTAAACATCCCTAAACCTCAAATAATACTGTGGCTTCAATTTTTCTACGCCCATTCTGTAACCACCGAAACCCTTACATTAGATAGTTGTTTCCATCATCTCATCCAATCCATTCCCACTAACCACCCTAAACCATAACTGATAGAATTGTTTCCATTTCTGGCTCCATTCATTGTCCACGAACCAACCCAAAGCCTAAACCATATATAACGTAGTCTCAGCGGGGGTTCGTAAGGAATATGGGGATGTATTATACAGTGATTATATAGGGATCATATTCCCGTATTCCCTAGTAACCACCAGTAAGTACCTAGACCCCTGGGCGGATCTAGAAAGTAGATCCCCCTTAAGGGTTCCTAGGAATTACCCAATAGTAGTATAGGGTACCCTAATGGGGGTTCTACTTTCCAAATCCTCCCAGGGGTCTGGGTAGTTGCTTCCAAGTTCTTCTGCATGCCCTACTAGCCGCCAGTGAGGTTATGAGCTGGGAGGAGACAACACGGAGAGCTGCAGCTACCAGCGGGAGCGCCTCGACTCGCCCACGGAGTGCCGGGAGGCACCAGGGGGTTTCGAGGTTCAGGGTTGGGAGTTGGGGTTCCAATAGCCCTGAAAGGCTTCCCTGAAATAGGCCCCAATAGATCCCTTATTACAGCCCTGAAACTTTGGAGGTTTAAGCAAACACTCGCATTCAGGCTTAGGCGGGGACCCACAGCGGGACCCCTGGTTTTGGGGAGACTTCTTTTTACACATAAACATATGGTTTATGTGTTTTTTCATGGATTTGGGGTTTCTGAAATTTCCCTGGAAATAACGGCTCATTCCTCTTATCTTAATCCTAACAACCAGCTGAAGTTATTGTGGCTACAAGGTCTTCAGGGAACTCAGAGTTGGGGTTTACCACGGTTGAGGGTCCAGGGTTGAACCTTCAGGGGAGGGTTTGGGGTCCGTAGTGTGACCCTAGGGTCTTCGAGAGACCTGAACTATAGGACCATGGCACCTGCGGGTTGCGCACGTGTTACACATTGATATAATAAGCCCTGAACCCTAAACCCTGAAACCTAAATCCTAAACCCTGAACCCTAAACCCTCAACCCTAAACTCCGGGCCCTGAACCCTGAACCCTAAATCCTCTGAAGGGGCCCTAGGTTTGAGGGAGGCTGAGGAACTGTAGTACCTGCATACAGGTTATGCTGGGCTATGTGTTAGGTACTGCTCCTATCTTGTACCACGTGGATAGTAAGTATGTTCTGAATATACACAGCCCTTAATATGCCCTTATCATAGACTCTTACTGGCTAGGGGCAGCTAATATTCAATTTATTATACACTCTTACTGGCTAGGGGCAGTACCCCAAGCTACGTAGTGATACCCCTTTTGAAGGCAGCGGCGGCTCTGGGCTACAGCTATGGCTATACCGGCTCCTACAGCGGATGGCCTCGAGACTGCTTCAAGTACAGAGATCTGGTCTACTTCAACGAAGACGCTGGGACCAGGGGGTTATAGGGGGATATGTAGGGGGATATATCGGGATAAAGGAAAAGAAAATGGAATATTACTATTTAGGACAGGTTTAGGAAATGGAGTCCCCCTTTTTGGTGCTTCGTGCCCAGGGGCTTGCATGGGATGAGCTTATCCAGCCAGACCCAAATTAGGACATCGTCAATTCCGACGGAAGACATGATGCCCGCCTGCTCTGCAAGCGCATTACGCCGACGACGACCACCACTACCACGACCATCTTGCATGAGAACGTGCCTAGGAGGTATAGCAGGTCATATTCCACTCGCTTTCCTTGCGGAACGTAGTCACACAGAATCTAAGACTGCTGACTGTCCTTGTGCTACAGCAGACATCTCAAACACTTTCGAACTTCGTGAAACTTTGATTTCTTTTGCGTCTAGACTCTCCCGCAACTCCTTTAGATAGTGATAAGCGTCTCTAAGCCCTAAACCCTACCCGGAAACCCTTCAAAGCCAAGACCCTCTACCCGGCCTGAGGTGGTGAGCTACACAATCGGTGCCCCTGGCTTCGATTGTGCGGAAGGCCATGTGGTTGCAACGCACGCGGAGTGCGCCAGCAGTGCATTAATCACGCAGGTCGTGGGCATTCCTAAAAAACCAAGAGGTTCCCCTTGTTGACGTTCTTTGTTTCAGGGTCTCCCCAACCTTCAGGTCGGGATCCACTTCTCCAACTGGGCATCAACGAACACAATGCAGTTTGGCTGCCTCTACTCCTCGAGCACGCATGCCTTGTTCTTCAATTACTTCGAGGGCGGCAGTGTCGATTACAACTACTCCCCTGTTTGCAAGACCGAGACGCATCTTGGAGACGAAAGGGTTCTGAAGTTGGGGTTTAGGGTTTAGGGTTTAGGGTCATGTGCCGTGTACCCCCGGAATAATCACTCGACATTTGTCGACCAAGACTTTGAAACCCTCACGCCCAGCCAGGTCTCTGCCTGAACCCAAATCTTGTGTTATGGTATTTCGTCCCCTTAAGTAGGTAGAATATGGCTTTGGGTATATTATAATAAGATCGCCATATGCCCCATATTCTATTTACTTAAGGGGGAGTATAGACCCAAACTCCAAAGCCCAAAGCCTCAAGTGACCCTCTAGAGTACATGGAGCCCTAATCCATAAACCCTGTAAGGAATCCAGTCATTCGCAATTTCAACATGGGAGACTTCGACACTAACACTTGCAGCTCGGGGCAGCCCATCGACGACTCAGAGCCTCAGCAATATATCAATTTATCAAACAGCCCTTCTACACCCCAATAGGGACACCTAGAAATGCCTTTGCGGCATGCAGAGGAGCTTCAAAAGAAATTGCTGGTAATCATTCAGGTTCCTGTACTGCTCAAGAGAAGTTGGGCGCAAGGTTGATGGATAATCGTTTCAGGGTTTGGATTTAGGGTTTAGGGTTACTCTCCATGCCTAAGTTAAAGGTGCAAGCCTTGCTGCTTTAGTAGACCTAGGCCGAGGCAGGATCTTTTTCACCAACAGCAACAAAAAATTATAGTCCCCCTTAAGTAGATGAAATTATGGCTTTGGGGTATATTATAATAAGATCCCACAAACCCCATATTCTATCTACTTAAGGGGGACTATAACCCCAATATATACCCTGCTATCAAATAGTAGTTTCCATGTTCTTTTCCATTGTCCCTATATAACCCGGAGTAATAGCACCCCATATTCTATCTACTTAAGGGGGACTCTAAGCCTTAAACCCTAAATCCTAAACCCTAAACCCTATATTCTATCTACTTGAGGGGGACTATAAGCCCATGACTGAAGCCTAAACCCTAAAACCCTACTGGCATTTGTAGAAGGAGCTGTGCCGAGAGGCTGCAGCATGGTATGGCGACGTTTCTTGGACTGAAGGTATGAATCCTGGCTTCCCCAATAGTTACTTGGGTTAAGGGTTTAGGGTTTAATAGTAGGATCCCAATTACAATCCTTACTAATTAAGGGGAGGGGGCTTATGAATATATATATATATGTTAAAGGGATTGCTTTCCCTTATTCCCTATTAATTGTGCAGTTTAAAGCGACCTCACCCGACCTCACGCTAAATGGTGGTTTATATAAGGAATAGTACCAAAATTGCCTTGAATTGTATTCTAAATTACCCTGCCAGTAGGTCCCCTCTACTGTTTTGGGGTCCTAGGTTCCCCATAAAACTCGGTTATACAACGAAGAGGCCTCCTTTTACCCCTAGGTTATTGAGGATCCTAGAAGCTCTTGTGTCACTGTGGAAGGCGGTGTATGCAGACTAGGATGAGCTGGGGGCAAGAACACTTACATGAATGAAGCTTGCGTGGATACATGCCATGCCCTCCTGTTTCTGAGGATCCGCACTTGGAGCTTACACTGTGGCATAGCGCTTCATGTATGTACTTGCATAGTGTATCTCCAACATTTGTTGGGTGATGGGGTCTTGCAGGTCTTCTCCGCCAGCGGAAGCTATTCAGGCTACCCGACAGGCTGCTTCAAGTTCTTGAACAGCGATGTCTACTTCAACCGGCATGAAGGTAACCATCCCAACACCAATGCGGCGCCCATCTGCATTGGATGAACCACTTTCGCCAAGCCTTCGGAAGCTCATGTTTTGAAGAGCGAGAATGTGATGATTACTCAGATTCAGCCTGCAATCTGAAGCAGGCGTGGAGTTCCCAGCCTTTTTTAAGAAAGTTGCCTTCCGCTCTGTGAGCTGCGAAGCCTTAGCAACAGTGAGCTACGGCGCAACAGCAGGTGGACGTTCCTCCCCACCGAAAAAGTGTGACTTCCAGCACGCGAGTAGCATTTCAATGGCGATACTATAGTGCCCCAAGGGGAATAAGATTATGTGCTCGTTTTGACTAAGGCAGCCTATAAGAAGAATACAGTCTCCTTGGGTTCAGCAACCAAGAAACGCTACTCGCGTGTGGTTTCAACGATAGCTTGATCAACGCCAGGTTTGGGTAACATTCCTAGTTTCAGTTGTTGCTAAGGGACTTAAGATGTCAAAAAATAGTTTTCTAGCACACAGCATGGCTTCCCTACTATGGCAACTTAAGCTTCCTAATCTGATAACTTTAGAAGCTTCAAGATCATGGTAATTTGATGCAAGTTCCTTCCAAGACCCCATAAAGGATCCAAAAAATGGAACCCCCTAAAATGACCCCCATTACTACATTGAGGAAACTAGGGGATTGTTGGGAGGTTCGATTTTTTGGATCCTTTAGGGGGTCTGGGTTACCAGCCACCTCATAGTCTGAAGATGTAATGGCAAGCAGTAACTGTCATGTACTCAGGTCTAAACCCCAGGGGACCTAAGAACTTTCGAGTAAGGAATTTAGGAGGTGTTCCCTAAATTAGGGGTACCTTTTGGGTGTCCCAATAGTAAGGATCATAGCATTTTGGGGTCTATATTGGGGTTCCCTCATTTTGGGAAAATACCATATACCCTGATTAATGACACTGGGAACCTAGTAGGATTTGGGGGTAGATACCTTGATTAAGGGCCGCCGAGCTTCCCGGGTAAAGGTACCCTTTACTGGCAACAGGAGCCAAAGGGTCCAAAGCAACCGCATGGGTAGTTCCCAAAATTATGGGCCCCTGTTGCTTATAGATTATATTCATTAAGCATCTAATATTTAGGGGTAGCAAAATGGGACCCTAATTTTGGGAGCTACCCACATGTTACCAAGCATCACTTCCGTACTTTTGTAATATATAAAGCAGTGACTCCAGGGTTTAGGGTTTAGGGTTCCAAGTCGGTCGCCCTGATTGGGGTAAATTCCCGGCCTCCGCGGTCGGGCATCAGGATCTCAGAGCAGTTGGACCCTTAAAACTCTGCTCAGCCCAGACTTCGAGGGTCATGGACACTTCGTAAGTAGCTCAACAACCCCTATAAGCCATATACTTAACCCAAATTATCCCCATTGTTGACGTATTAACTAAGCCCCGCTGACCCTCCAAGTAAACATCCTAGATACACCTAATCAGCACACGGTACAAGCCACAGTGATTACCCCATATTTGTCACCTCAGAATCCTTCTATACTCAGCGTATAATGTGTCCCAAGACCCTTGTTCTAATGGTTTCGGCCTCTACATTACAATCCTTTGAAATTTCCAGTATGAACCCATTTGCATTTTTCATCTTTTGTCCATCGCTTTCTTCACCACTCTCATCAAATTAGACAAACTTAAAACCTCATCATTTCCGCCTCAACCTTGTGGCCCACTCCTTGTGGACACAAGAGTGGGCCCTCGACCTGAGTTGCGTTGTGGCATGTGGCCCTTTTGAAAGGGCATTTGGGTGTTATATACGGGCATGTAGGAGTATATGAGGATATACGTATATACATATACGAATATATGGGATGTTTTTTGGGTCTACAATTATGATGACCAATTTTTGGACGTATCACGAGAGGGTGTCTTTTTTGCATATAAATATATATATATATATAGACCGGAAATTCCTACAACCACTCAGCGCCGTAGTCCGCAGGTCGTTTTTGAATCTACCTGGCTTTCCTTTTGAATCACCAGACTTAGTGCTCCTTAAGCTATGTGGAATTACAGATGGATACTTCTAGGCATTTACTACCCCAGTGGCCCTGAACCCTGAAGCACCGGTAAGCAGAAAGGACCCACAGCTTCGAGAAGCCTTCACGCCGGCTAGGGAGAATCCTAACCCCAAACCCTAAGCCCCAAGCCCTACTTGGAGGGTCTGGGGGGCTTAGTAAGTAGGTTAATAATGGAGATCTATATGGATTGAATGGGCTATTTACCTACTGACCCCCTGACCATCCAAGAAATGGGAAACATGAGTAAGATACCCACGTAAAACAACAACGACTACAATAACCCTGTCCAATTCAATTTCTATTTGAGTCTCCAGTATTGGGGTACCATGTAGGACTAACCCTGATCTTGGAAGCCCTAAGCCATAAATCCCGTCATATTCTGAAATACAAGCCCTGTAACCCTTAACCCTAAATTCCTACTGCAACGGCCTGGGTAAATACCAATATTTTTTCCTGAAGAAAGTACCTTAAATAGACTTCAACAAAATATTGGTGGTCCCTCGCCTCCCTCCGTCACATGATTCTTATAAGTCCCTTTGTAACCCAGCTTCCATTTCAATTTGTCCATGTCATGTTCCTTCCGCTTCTCCATCATTGGCGCAGTGTGTCTGGCCCATACCTGAACCCTCTAAATAATCTTCCGATCGCCCCTTTACGCCCCTATAGAACCCTTCTATGCCCCCTATATATCCCTGGCATAACCGATACGACCCTAAACCCTCCAAAGAGAGACGTAGAAGCCTTGCTTCCAGGTCTCCTGGTCGTGCAGAGAGATGCGACCATTGACCTTGCTTGTGGACATTTGGAAGCCACGACTCCAGCCGCTGGTAGCATTAGGGTTTAGGGATTAGGTTTTAGGGTTTTAGGGTTTAGGGTTTAGGGATTAGGGTTTAGGGTTTAGGTTTTAGGGTTTGGGGTTTCAGGGATTCAGGTTTAGGGTTTAGGGATGGGCTTCAGGGATTAGGGCTTAGGGTTTAGGGTTTCAGGGATTAGGGTTTAGGGATTAGGGCTTCGGATTTAGGGCTTAGGGTTCAGGGTTTTCGGGCTTAGGGTAGAATAGCTGTAAGAATACTGAAGATCATAATACCATTACTCTGATTCAATATCCATGTCTTGACTACCACTTCTAGTTAGATGAATATGTGTAGCTCTTAGCAGGACTGTTGCTGTGACTGTCGTTGGTATCAACGTGCATGCGAAGATGCGAAGAATATCTGGAATGGCTGGATCAATACGCAGAAGTTGTTTTCAAATCATCTTTCTTGAAGAGGTCCCATTACTCCAGAATTGAAGAAGGAAGTGGGAGCTGCTTTGGTCTTCAGGGCGTTTGGTAGGAAGCCCTCTATTTTGAGAAACCCCCAAATCACTGTGCGACTTTGCATCTAGCGTCTCTTTGCCAGGGTAAACCGGATGCAGAAGCTTTAGGGTTTGAGGGTTTCGGGATCTGAGGGTATTATTCCAGAAAAAGCCTGTCTGTTATACCTAAGAAATGCCTCCAAACCCTATTTCTAGTGTCGGCTACAGTATAGGGTTTAGGGTTAAGGGCTTTAGAATTCACTGCTCCTGGTTGTTGGCATACCACCAGTACCCTCATACAGGTGATCATCTCGGGGACCCCAAGGTAATCCCCTCATCTCAGCACAGCCCCCCACCCCACTGCTAATATTGAATATTCCCCATGTGGCGTGCTATGCTATACAGTGAATATTTGATATTTGGGGGGAGGGGGGGCGTTATATTAGGAATTGGAGTAATCCCTGCCCGTAGCTATGAAACCACATTAGTAATAAAGACTTCCATTCTAGCATCTTATGGTATCCCGGGAATCGGGACTCGTGGAGTACATTGTAGTAATGAGAAGACGTACCACGATAGCATATCGTAATGTGCTGGGAATAGTTTATGACTAGGGCTGCGTTCGTATTACTGTTGGTAGCTGGTACGGCTACTAGAGTACCCCCTAATCGGGTGACTCTGTCTATGCTTGGACAGGGCGATAAAGTTTGCGTGTGTAGAAACCCAATTATCGCTTAGGTCATTCCCCCCTACAGTAACTGTTACCAGAATGAGTAGTAGGGCTTATAATCGGCCATTCATATGGCCCCGTTAAGGACAGTTACTGTAAGGGGAATGAGCCAAGTTATCACCACTACTGTCATTGCTGTTCTTATTCTATTGTTGCATCTACGTGTGTTGTTACTTGTGATTGCTATTGTTGCTAAGATTGCAGCAATTCCCATGCCTGCGGCGCTCTGCAGTGTGAGAGATCTTGGGGTATCTCAGCGTGATTTGTGTTGTCTACACTGCTTATTCGGGACCCCATGTTCCGACATTCCAAATCCACACATATCCTTTGATGATATACTCCGAACTCTTAACCCGAACGCTACATACCCAGTGGGGCCCTAAGCCCTACGAATCTCTATATGCCCAGTTGAAACCTACAGCTTCCGAGGCACAATGTAGGGGCCTGAAGAATCATCAAAAAGATTTCTCAAATAGAATTTGAGTCGTAAAGAATTGTGGTGTAGACTCCCATTATAGGATATTCTATTAAACTTGGAGCATAAAGTATTAGGGGCCAGGGGTTTTGTGATTGCAGGGAAGGGCCCACACCTTCAACCTGATAATGCCCGATTTCATCAAATGAGCGAAAGTCTAAACTCTTTGAAGGCGGTTATGTATATGTATATATCGGGGACTGAGTGGATACTAGGAGTTTAGACTATAGCTCAAGTGGGACCCTGCCTTATCTGGAAGCTCCCTGGACATGATAGTATCTTTCAGCTTCTGTGATCCAAAGTAAAACCTTAAGAACTAGCTGAAATGGTGATGTCTACCAAGATTTCTGGGGACTTAGCTGTTTCCCAACCAAATGAAAAATTTCCTGAACCCTAAACCCAACTACCGTAAACCCGAAAACCCCAAACCATATACCCTGTACCCCAAACCCTACACCCTACACCTTTCCCCTCACCCTTTTCCCTAAACTCCAAAC